CTACACACTTGACCACTGTGGTGTACAGGGCAGAGTGGAACTGGATGGGATTCTGAGGATTTTCTCAAAGTTGAAGTTCCCAGGACATAGAAGTGGACATTAGCTGTCCAGGTCCACCCAGAACCCATCTGTTCACCTTCCTCTGATCACTGTGCACCCCCATGCCTTAGACAGCGACGCCTTCCCCACCTGACTCATGGACTTCGTTAGAGCAGTCGATCAGGGCTCTGGATCCCCCAGGACTTGCAGTGTGACCCGGGCTGGATCGATCAGAGCTTCCTGGAATTTTCACAAACTGCAGGTGAAGAAATCGCTTTCTTTCTCCTTGGGTTTCCAGGTGTAAAGCTATTACTCCAGAATCTCCCCTGGTTATGTCCTTCATCAAGGGGGAGGTCTGAGAAAAGGGAGCCTATGCAGAGGCGGAAACCAGCTTCAGAGGGACAAGGAGAAAAGGTGGAGGGTTCTGTCTGTGTCTCAGGACAGCTCTCTTTTCACTTTCTTGCAGACTGGCCACATTTTTTCCCTAAGCTAGTATGAAATGGGTCTCTGTCATTTGAAAGTACACTGTGCCACTCTTCCAAAAAGATTTTATAGGTGACCCCATACCCAGCATCTCATAGAAGCATGCAAGAACAGAATTCAAACTTTTGATTTCCATATTATTACACAGAGCATAGATTCTTTGCCACACTTTATAGAACCAAGGTTAAGAAACCCAGGTGGAAGTTCATTCACTACAGTGCCTTTGGTCCTGATGGTAATTGTTAAGTACGGTAATCATATTTTTACTAACTTACTGAGTACCTACAATGAGTCAGCATGCTTTATTCTCAAATTTCTATGAGTTTTATTATTCCCATTAAACAGATGAAGAGAATGAGGCCCAGAGAGGCTTGAGAACAGCAGACAAGAGGCAGAGCTGAGACTAATCCGCAGACCTATGGAACTTCTCAGCGTCCCCAGTTAGCCTCCAGCGCATCCCATATACTGCCTGAATGCCACACCAAGCTTGTGACAAAGACAGTACTCATAAAAAGGAATTTTTAAAAGTGCCATATCCAAGAGCACAAGCCAGCTGCCACCTTCTGAGGGCCAAAGGAGGAAAAACAGAAAAGCCCCAAGAAGAGTTCCTTCAAAAAACAAAACTCTGGAGTGTAGACATTATACTAAGCCTAAGAAAAAGTCTATATCCTATTAAAATAGGTGTCATTGTGCCAAGCCAAATGTTCAGTTACAGAGCAACTCCATCTCAGCTCTCCTTGGTAAAATGGACTAAAAGCAATGCCACCTAACAATGTCCCCAGGCCAGCTGTCCACTCATGCCCCACTCCGAGAAGTCTCAGTGCTTACACCTCCAAACTCTTCCTCCTGAAATCAAAATAGTCTGACCCAGCTGGGAGTCCATAGGAATCATGGTGGCAGGAAAAAAAAAGCCTTCTGTCACTTTCTATGGGGATAAGTCTGTGCCTTCTTTACTTGTACACTCCTTACATACACACACACACACACACACACACACACACACACAAAGACCTCTCCACTCAGTGCCCCAGTGCTGGTGTGGATTAACTACTCCTGCAGCTGCATTTCTCCAGGTCTGAGGTCTCCGTGGGCCTGTTACTATCAGCTGGCCAAACATTCATCAGAGTCCTTGACTACAGCACGAGAGGAGCGCAAGAGGCACACGACCCTCGGCAAGTCCCTGGGGCCTCTGATACTTCTCCAGGTGCCAGGCAAGCCGGCAGCCCCCCGTCTAAAGCCCTGCAGGGCCTTCAGCGCTGCTCAGAAGGAAGACAAGGTCGGCAGGGCCTCATGGTGAGGTTCTGATGCTTCTGCCACAGATAACGCCCACCACCCCTCTCCTCTGCATTTATTTTCGAGCTCTTTTCCTTCCCTTGTCCTTTCTTCCGGTGACTTCTTTATCCACATGCTTGACCCATGAAACACCCAGCATCCTGACATCAGAAGGGCTCCACAATCATCCCTGTCTTACCTCCGTCACCCACCCCACCATTCCTAACCTGGGATCTTGTCAGCACCAAATGCACCACCTCTAACATCTGACTGCCAAACATCTAACTCCACCATCGCCTCCAAGATTGCACTGCTCTCTGTAGTGTCTGTACTCTAACAATGTTTGACTCTTCAGAAATTCAATCTCATGGACCCCATGTTCACTGGCTCTCACATCTTTCATGTTCTCATCACACGGTCCTCTATTAAAATCAACTCATGTGTACCTTGTTTTTTCCATCTTGGAAACCGCCAATTGTTGGTTAAATCAAACTCGCCATCTGCATTAGACCTTATTCAGCAGAAGAGAAGTGTTGGAAAGCATGCAAACACCCTGAACAAACACACCCATGACCACAGCCTCCAGGGCCAGCACTCCTGCGGCATTCTCCCATCCATTCCGTGCTCTGAGTGTGCAGGAATCCCCTCACAGCTGCTCCCCTTTAGAATCGCCAACACCCCTTTCCACCTCTACAGCCTCGGACCAAGACTATTTCATTGAGAACATTGGAGCCATCAGAGGAAGTCTTCCCCTTCCTGTAACCACAGTTCGCAGGCACTGTGCCAACAAGCTCTGCCTTTTCTTCTGTCATAGAAAACAAACTTTAACTGTCTCAGCAAAGGTCATCCCTTCCCCTTGTCCAGAGGGACATGCTGCCTGCAGCAACACAACTTCCTCCTTGTAGCTATTTCATCACTCTGCAGCTCGTTTCTTTCTCTCTAGGTCGGTGTACTTCACACAAATGTACTGAGATAACACCCATCCTCTAACCCAAACACACCAAGTTCTCACTTGACTGCAGGACCCTCTCTAGCTACAGTCCTCATTCCTCACTCCCTTTAAAGCAAAGTTCATGCCATTTTCTGTAATTGATGCCTCTAAAAATTCACCTTCCACTTTTTCTTGAACTTCATGTTCAATTGTATTATTGTTTCCCACTCTCAGCTCCTCTACGCTTGGCAGGAGGAATATGTGTCCCTAATCAGTGCCAGGTGGCTTGCGGTGCATCTCTTCTGAGGACTGCATCTCACACCCCATCGGCAGGCTAGGCCAGCCTCACCCAGGAGAAGCAGAGCAGACACGACAGGGGCCGTGTTTGAGGAGAAGTCTGAAGAGCCACACCGAGCCGCTACCATCAGTCTCACTCTTTCCTTGAGCCTCAGTACTGCAACCCCAGATTAAGCTGCTCCATCAGCCTGTATTCAAACATGAGGAGACCCAGGTAGACCTTCTTCACTATCTGAGCTCAAAAGGCACACCTCTTTCCTGCCTTTTCCCCTATATAAGCTCATCCATCTGCCACTGGGATTCCAAAAATCATGTCTCACCTCCCTCTGACCTGAACTCTGAGCACACGTGTATAACTTCTACTCAGATCTCCACCAAGCCCACTAGTCCCCTTCATTCTCTCTCACTACTGCTCACACTCCTCACCATTCATATTCTTTTTATGTCAGCAAATGACATCACGGCCACCACCACATGCCCAGCTACTCAGAACAAAATGCTCAATGGTGTCTTCATCCTCTAGTTCTTATCTCTCCACCTAGCCTCACATAAACCTGTGCCCAGGCTGTCACAGTAGTCTCCATTCTAGTCCTTCCTGCATCTACTTTTGCCCCTGCTTGCTCCTGCCACAAGCATCCAGATGGGCCACTCTTCTTAAAAACCTAACTCAGTCTCACCATACCTGCGATGGTTCCTTATAACCCTTCAGACAAGGCCGCAGCCACAGTGGACACCACAACTCTGCGGAATGGAGCCCAGTAGCTTTGAGTGTCTTCTGTCACTCCCTGTGCCTAACCCACTCTGTTCAAGCCAGGCTTCTTGACAGTCCTCAAGCCCACCACCCTTTTCCAGTTTCACACCCATCTCTGCCCTCTGCACAGAACACTATCTGTCTCCTTAATCCTCACGCTGGCCCCCTCACATCACTCTCATTTAGCTCAGACAGGATTTCATCACAAACATCCTACCCAACTAAACTCCCTCCATTATACTGAAGTCCCTGACCTGTGCTCTTTCCAGCCCTTAACCCTACCTACCAGGAGACCATCTAGGTTAGAGGATCCGAGCAAGCTCCCTGAGTTGGCAATTAATTTCTCAATTTCTCCACCTGCAAAATGGAGATGAGAGTCACAGCACTTGTCTTAGCACAGCTTTTATGAAATCAGCTGTAAAACACTTAGAAACACTGCAGGATGCAATGGATACAGGGGCTACTTTTAGCTCACCCTGAGTTCTCTTCTGTGAAAGCAGGAACTCTCTGTTCCTGGTCCCCTGCTGCATTCCTGTAACAGTGGAGGTGGAGAGGCTCAGCTGAGGGAGGACCTGAAAACCATCATCAGAACCTGTGCTTAGGGGCACACTCCTGTAATCCTAGTACTCTGGGAGACCGAGGCAGGAGGATCACAAGTTAAGCTCAATCTGGGAAGCTTAGTGATTTAGTGAGTCCCTTTGTTAACATTAGAAAAAAATTTTAAAGGGCTGGAGATGAAACTTAATGTGAAGATCAAGCCCCAGTGTCAAAACAAAAGAAACCTGTGGTTTATTCTGGGCGTTAATTTAAAATGATAATAATAACATTTCAGCTGGATTTGGTTGTGACTCCAATTTTGCTCCATTCAAGGTTTCACATTATCATTATCTTGACTCAGTTCTTAACAGATAACCTCTCTGTCTAAAGTTTCTCTCTTTCTCTTTCTCTCTGAATCAAGACAAGATCAGGGAAACTGATAGCTAAAGATTCTGACTTGAAAACAATCATTCTCTAATTTGCCTTTTCATGAAAATGTCTGTATCCACCTATTAGAGTTACATAAAATGGATTATACCATCATTTGGGCTAATATTGTGTCACTGCAAGTAAATGTCACACTTAAAATGATCCCTTGAGAGTTCTGAACATTTTGTTGACTCCCTGAGTCCCCATTATTGTAATTAATAACAATCCTTCACACAACATTTGGTGAGCACAAAAGCCATCTTTGCCAATCATTATTTTATTTCATCCTCAGTATTTCTCTGAAGGGCACAAAGGCCTTTGTCACCCTCCGTGATTCACAGTGGGCAGTGGGGGAGGAGTATTTCGAGCCACCTGCATCAGGAAAGCAAAGGTCTACAAAAGCCAGTGTAGTCCCTAAGGCCAAGGGCTGTGACTCACTGTCTGTGCTAAGCTGCTTGGGGCCACTGTTCTCTTTCATGGGCCCAGAGGAGGAACCAGAGGCCGCCATGTTCTGGGGCCACGCCAGGCATCACTCTGGCTACCAGCTGCTACTTTCCATGCGAGCAAGCTGAGTCCCTTAGCTGAGGTGGTGCTGGCTTTTGTAAAGCTGAACACTCCAGCCTGGGTGCCTCACATATCAGCATCTTCTTTCTCACAGTGACAGTGCAAGGAATCAAGCTCCTTCCATTGGTGGCTCCGCCATCTTCAAGATGAGCAGGGTTGCTGGGGAAAAAGGAATACAGAAGTCATGGTAGAGAATTCTCCCCAGCCAGGCCCCAAAAGTGTCACACTTCACCACCACATCTAATTAGTCAATACCCTAACTTTAGAGGCGTTAAGAACAGCAGCCTTGCTGTTATCCCCAGGGGGAATGGATTTGGGACTGGTAAACAGCTAGACAATGGTGGCCATGCCAGGGATGTCACTTAAAGTCTGAGCCTTCTCTACAAGCAGCAAGCTGAGGCACACCCAGCCAGGGCTTAGATGTAACGATGATTCTGTTTCTAGATTTATTTCTAGAAATAAATACTTCCTACCTATGTCGTCCTCAACTCTCTTCTGCATCCTCCTCCTCATTAAATAAATTCTCCATTGCTTCAAAGAAGAGAGCAGGGCATGTGAGCAGTCAGCTACACAGGTGAGAGAGCCCCTGAGAAGAGTGGCTATTCGTACAGGCTGAAGACCCCTTGTCTGAACAAGCAGAGTTCCAATACTGTTTCAGATTTTGGAGTTTACAGGGTTTGACAACATGAGTGTAGATTTTATCAGTTGAGTATCTCTATTCTGAAAACTTGACATCCAAAATGCTTGGTTTTCAGATGCTCAACCTGTAAAAGAAAAAGAAACTGCTGCAGTAGAAGCTTCCTGAGGTCCTACTCCCAATTTTGATGTTTCTCTGAGAGCCCTGGAATAGAGTATTAGAACTAAAAGAGCCTCAGATACAGCTACCATCAAGGGAGAACCTGCCACTGTTATGAATCCACCATGAAATTGTGGGAGACACCTAGATCTCCCAACTAAGAAAGTGAGGCTGTGCCTCCCAGCAGGTCTTTAGGAAGATTAAGTGTGATGATGTAGGCAGAATGTCCTGACCCAGTGCTTGAAACATAGTAGGCACTTAATCAAGGCCAGCTTGCTTTGAGTGCGTCAAGTTCAACACCGCCATCATGTTGAAGAATGTGCCACACTCCTGGCCAAGTGAGATTAGTTCAGGACATAGATAGGTGCATGAACTATTTGGTGACACAGGTGCTACATGTGGGAGATCACTCACCTGGAAGGATCCCAGAGCTGCCACCTAGCTATTAGAACAAAGCCTGGAACTCCAAGCTACCTTCTCATGCTTGCTTCTGATGCCAGAGGTAGCAGCATGCATGGGGGCTTCCCTGTACCCTACAGTCTCTCCATCTTCCTGTCCTGTCTTCTGTCCCTCACACTCAGTGCCATGGAGCCCTCCCCAGTGATCATCACAGCCCCAAACTGAAACCCACCCTGGCCACGTATCAGTTCATACATGCTCCTCATTTCCCTACTGTGTCACTTGGACATCCAATAAATGGCCACCATTATTATTATCATCATTATTGTTGCATTTATTATTATTTGCAGAGTATTTTGATATTACCACCATCAGTGGGTCTTCATGTGCAAAAGTCACATCCCTTAATGCCTGCTCCACTCAGGCATCAGGTCAAGCCAAACTTACAAAGTACTGTCTACAATCGCTCCTCCCTCCATTGGGCAGAGATGATTTAAAACAACACTGATAAACCTCTCACATGATAGAGGCCTCCAGTGGTCCTTGTGATGTGTGCACGGAGATCCCAGACCAGAGAAAGAGGACTTGAAACAGAGTCATCAGGTCACTGCGTCTTGCTCTGGGTATTTGTAAATTCCAAGGGATAAGGAGGAAGAGAAGGGCATCATGGGAAACAGGTGCACAGCCCTGCACCACAATGGCAGATTGAGCCACAAAGGTGCATTTCTGCATGGCTCTTGCAGCAACCATGGGTAGCATTGCAAGGGCTCTTGGTTGGTCATGGCCAGCAGCTGGCACCCATGATCTGTATCAACGCCATGAGCAGTGAAGTGAGCCCCACAGTTCCTCCACCTCAGAGAATACACAATTACACTTTTAGCTTCCCAAGGCATTTTTGTGTACCTTGACACTACGATTAATTTTGATTGTCAATTTGATTGGTTCAGAGACACCTACCCGATTAGCACAGCACACTACTGGGCTGTCAGGATGGGTGAAGAACTGGGACCTCAGGGAGCTGTGGCCTCCAGCCTGTTGCCCTCTGGTGCTATCCCCTGCTCTGCTTCCCAGCTGCCATAAAAGCAGCTCTGCTCCACACATGCTCCTTCCTTGAAGCCAGCATATGATGGACTAAAACTATGAGCCAAAATAAGCCTCTCTTCCTTTAGGTCATGGAGTCAGGTATTTTTTCCCAGCAGTGGGAACACTGACTAATAAACTCACTTTCTCTAAATAGCACAAGCCGTTCTAACCGCTGGTTCCTTTGTTTGCATCCCACGGAAGCCAGGAACCATGTCTCACTCATCCCCTGGGATAATTCACTGCTGGGTAAGGGCTTGCTGGCTAACAATGGTCTTTCTTCTGTCAGATGCCTGAATGTTCCCAGTCACTGGCTGTCACACAACACTGAATCCCCACTCTCCACTAACCCAGCACGGAGAACTACTTGTAATCAACCTTCTCCTGGACCTGCTCGTAGCTCACAGGTAGTACAGAGCCAGTTCTGACCTTGGATTCTACTGTGACCCTGAGCCCTGTCCTCCATGGTACCTGGCACAGCCACTTCCACCCCTGTTGGCTGCTAAGGGGTCCCGGACCCACCCCCAGCTGCGTGGTCTGGGCAGGGTAGCAGGGTCTCCTGAGATGGCATAGAGTTTGGTTTCAGGACAGGTTCCACCTGGATCCCTAGCTTAGGAAGAGAGCCATCACTTGCAAATCACCCACCAGTGCTCCTCCTCTATCTGTTCAAGCATGAACTGATGAGACAGCGCGAACCTCAGCGTGGCTACAAAATCAGAAACCAAAGTTCGAGTGAAAGCACCACTGGCCTCCACAGCCTGGCTGCAAGGCCCTTTCACCCCGCCTGCTCTGCCAGGCGCGTTCTGGAGCTCCGCCTCCCCGATGTCAGCTCCGCCCAGATGAGGGCTCTGCCAAGGCTCTGCACTGACAGATCCTGGATGATACCCGCAGGAGGCAGGACAGCAGCAAGGGAAGGAAAGGAAAGCGTAGGTGTTTCTTAGGCATTGTCAAATAAGTGGATCTGCAGAATCGGAAGTGGCAGGGAGCAGAGGCTGTGTGTGTAATTTCAAGCCTGGGATCACATCTCGCATGCTCCGCTGAGCCACTGAACAAAGCAGCCCTCAGATCACTAGTGCTCTGCGTGGGTGGCACTCAGCTAGCCCAGGAAACTCTGGCTCTGCCCGGCACTCACCAGTATCACGACCTCCCCTGCGGCATCCGCCTCAGGCCCCACGTCCTTGCGGTACCTGCAACATGTTTATTCAACTCAGAATTTATTGAATTCTTACAAGGCCAGGTGTATGCTGATCCCTGCAAGAGCACAGAAAAGAAACATCCACCATCCTTGCCTTCAGTCACTTCCTCCTCATGAGCCACAGCTGAGTTCTTGTAATCCACATTTCCAGTGGGTCACTCTCCTGCCCAGGAGCCTACAGTAGCTCCTTACTCCTTCGATATCAAGAACTCAACCCAACCAGGCGCAGCTTACCAATTGCAGCATGAACCCTCCTTCCCTGCAGGTAAAAGGTTCTAATTACATCAGGCCCTTTCTGTCTTCTCCAGACAAGCTGTGACTTTTTCTTATCTAAACCCTTTAATACTTCAGTCCCACTAGCTCAATGTGATCCTTTTTGTCCAATTTCGCTAATAGGAAGCCACAGTCTTGCATTAAATTATTCTCCCTTTCATTCAAATGCAAGTCAACAAATACATTCTGAAGGCCACACTGTTCCCTGCCTATACCCGTGGGCAAGCAGGCTCAGGGCCAGAGGGGCAGCCCTTCTGAGGGAGTTAAAGCCACAGCTATGCCAATCTCAATGCTTCATGCCCTGCTCTTCATGACCTACGGGTGCCCCTGACATAAGATAAAGCCACATTCTTCCTCAGGTCTACCTTAAGAAACCCAAAGCCCAAAAATCCCAAAGGTCACACCTGAAGGCAGCAGTAGCCAGAGAGTGGCCTGTCCAGACCAGGTCTCCCACCTTACCTGCCTGGGACCTGTGCAGAGAGGGCTGCTGGGCAGGATGGGTGCTGCACGCCTTCACCAAGAGGCAGCACTGCGACCCACCCTACCTCCCAGGACAAGCCTATCTCAGGTCCCCTTGCACATCTCAGGTCACCACACTGCCCTCAACGCCCCCTTCCAGAGCAAAAAGCTCCAGGGCTGCAGGCGCCTATTGCCTTGCATGTTTGACTACTGCCATCTAGTGGCCGTGAGACTTAGCCTGCACTCCCTTCAGCCTTGCAAGCTCCCAAATATACTCCTAAATACTACCCAGTAGGAAAGATGGCCAGGAAGTTTCCGGAAATGACTTGAAGGCTTGCCAAGACTTCAGGAGCAAGAAGGCCTCTTTCCCAGAAACAGCCTCGGCAGAAAGGCTTTCTCTAAGCAGATTGAAGAGTTGCTAGAAAGGAAAGAGGATGCAGGAAGAAAAGGGGGAAGGGAGGACGGGAAAAAGGGAAAGAGATGGGAGAGATGGAAGAATAACTGTAGGCCTTGCCTGGAGCTCCAGAGAAGGGGATGAGATGCTCACGGAGGGAGGTGTGCAAGGGATTCTCCTGCCGCATGAGAGGTGAAGGACCTGCACCTGTATGCAAATGGGCTGTGGCCTGAAGATAACCAGGATGGGGCAGCTTCGTGGAGACACCTGTCCCTTGTTCCTTCCTAATGGTGTCACCCATCCCAGACTCCCCCTCCACTTGGTTACCCAGACAGTGGCCTGAGCATTGGCCAAGGCTTACAGAGAAGCCAGGTCCCCCTATAACTCAGAGCAAAGAGGTGACTTTCAACTCCCAGCCAGCCGTCTCACACCCTCAGCCCCCACCCGGCCCCATCCCAGGAGCTCTGCCACTCACACTTCCAGCCTCCTGGCACCAAGTCAAAGCAGTGACTTCCTGCTGGGGACAGGGGCTGCCCAGTAGGACCTGTCTCCTCACCTGAGCAAGACTGTTGGTCCCAGTGCCCTGCCCCCGAGGCCACTGCCTCTGTGAGACCCGTTAAGGTGATAAGAGGAGCTATTAAGCAAATTCATTATTGACTATTTCACATTAGATTCCATTTTTTTCCCTTTGATGCCAACACAACTAATAAAAATGCACTTTATCTTCTTGGATTTATAGGCTCGTAAAGCTGCTTTCATGTACCTCGGGGAATTGGGATTAAAGGAGAATTAAACATCTCCAGTGCAAAGCCTGCTCAGGTAGAGTGGAGGAAGGCGTTGGAGAGGCAGGCTGGGGGGCAGGAAGAGAAGAGTGATTCAAGGACAAGAAATAAACTGAAGTAAAAACCTGGCAAAAATATGGCTTTAATATATTGTAAAGAATAAAAACCTCATAAAAAGTTATCACCAGACATGAGGAGTTCGTAATGTCGCCCATTGTGGATTCTGGGGAGGAACTTTCTGGAAGCTGAGAGTCATTAAGTAAAAGTAAGGCAGGAGCTGGTGGAGTCGCCCTGGGACGAGGCAGGGTGGAGCTGCAGGGAGGGAGGCAGCGGACAGGGAGGGGACAGCCTGTAGGCTGGGGGCTGCGCCACCAG